ATATATATATATATGTGCATGCTTTGGGTTACGAGTAGATATGTAATATAATATACATTTGTATTATATATACATTATATTTTTCTTTCATAAAACAAAATATACTTATGTGTTTTTTATGTCTAATATTTACAGTTTTATTTACTCTATATGTATACATATAGAGTAAACTCGAGTAAGATGGTCCATCCATGTTGTTCATTTGATACTAGATGGTGAGCTAGATTCAGAAAACATGGGTTGGGCATCTCTTTTTTATGGCTATCTCACCCGAATTTACCCTATTTTACTAATTTTTGCAAATTGCAATACAACTAACCTAGTAAACGATATTGCAAACTAAAGTAATTGTCATAGACACAATTTTAGCTGTGGATCAAAGCTCAGATTTGCAGCGGCACCTAAAATATTATCAGACACACCAAAATTTGTGTCTCCTACATGTAATATATGTACTAATCGCTGCAATGCGTTCTAGCATAGTTATTCATTAAAGTGTCTGCCGTAACTAAATTGTTGTGACCCTTACCTTGCGACCGGGCACTTCCCAACAGCCGCGTCGCTTGACAAAACAGTCACCTCGGGTGATATTAAAGAGATTACCCGTTGCGGAGCCACGCGCGGCACAGGCAGAACGAGCGGTGGAGGGAGCGCAGCCGCCTCAAGGAGACCTAGCAGCGACATCTGTACCACGCGAGACCGAACTCCCATGCATGCCGCCCACGCCGTTAATATCGGCATTACAGCTCTCGATAACGACTCCCGCGCCTCCTCCGCTAATAGACGCGATCGCGGAATTTGTAGGTTACGATTTCCCGATCGGTCCGGTAGATCAGCCTTCCGACGATTTTGAGTCACCGTCGGGAGAAAGCGAGAGCGACGACGACGAGGCGTGGAAGCCGAAATAGGGAAAGACGGCTCGTCGATTAACACATGTATAAAATACACGTTTCTTTTGTTCAATTCTTATTTTCATAACTTGCTTGACAAAACGGTCAATGGCTTTATTTTCGTTTGATTTTCATTTCTGATATTCACATTGATTTAGTTATTTTAAGGTTACACTTACGGCGCTTCTGAGAGATATAATATTAAGTTGCGTTGACAGCCCGTATGGCTAAATACATTTAGATTTTGCGTATCATTAAAATACAGGCTCGGCAAGACGGTAGAGACCGCGCGTAATTTTAGTTTAGAATTATATCCGGCCGACTGGTACAAAACCAAGTTTAGTTGATATCTTGACTCACCGCCGATCAAAAAGGTCTTATATAATTTAGCGGTTGTCGATACAGATTAAGCGATAATGATCGTACGATGATAAGCGCGTTTAAGCGGAACGCCGATATAGAGTTACGGCGATAACCCGTATCGGGGGCACGGAGGATCATCCCTCGGACACGGTACACGCGTCCATAAGGTGGACGCCAAGGAAATACCAAGTTCTTGGAAAAAACCATCTTCTCCAGGAAAAACCTGGCTGAAACGTCATCCGAGGACCTGGGACACCCTCCCAGGGGGTCGGCGCCATTGTCCGGCAAAATCCCGGCGAAACACATTTTCGCCAGGAACTTATCCATTCGACGGTCTCACCAGGACCTGGGACACCCTCCCAGGAGGTCGGCGCCATTGCCCGGCAAAATCCAGGCAAAACGCATTTTCGCCAGGAACTTATCCATCCGACGGTCTCACCAGGACCTGGGACACCCTCCCAGGGGGTCGGCGCCATTGTCCGACAGAATCCCGGCGAAACGCATTTTCGCCAGGAACTTACCCATCCGCAGGCCTTACCAGGACCTGGGACACCCGCCTAGGGGGTCGACGTCAAGCTCCGACGAAGATCCCCAGGAAACGCATCATCTCCGGGAACAAGGGCCCGGAACAGCGATACCAGCTCCCAAGAAACCCAGCCAGAGGGTCGGCGTCAACGGCCGACGACATCGACGTCACCCGGACGTCGTCTACAGGAAAAACACCCAAATTCATCATCAGGGGCATCTCCGAGGAGGTGCGCATGGGTCGACGTCGTCCGCGTCGAACAGTTTTTGCGAGTGAAAACCTGGTGCAGCGGTACCGAGGAAGGAAGGTTCCCGCACTGCGTTGCGCGTGGAAATTTCCACGGGAACCTTCTAGAACGGGTATAAATGAGAGATGCGCAAAAGGGCACGCGAGAGGGTAGTGAAAATCATCGTGTTTTCGCATGATCGCGCCAGATGTGCCGGCCGCGAACAATAGACGATCGTAAAAGTTCCGAGGAGTGGGAACGATCCGGCATAAGTGGGGAGCATGGTGTAAGGATTACATGGTGTGCTCAATTGCCTGGGGGGATTCGGGTAATGACGTCACTCGTGTCGAATTGTGTAAACAGAGTAGCCAACGTCTAGAAGTAAAACATTTTTGGTGTTGTAATATTGGCACATGTTCATGCATCGTCACACTCATGCCGCTTATGCCACTCAGAAGTACGGTACATTGTTTTGTGTTAAACAGTGGGTCTGTTTGCGTTGCGACAATATATAAATTTAAAATAAAAATGGTGCGGTGTATTGTTAAAAGTTGTAGGAATAAAACAACGGGGGTTCGTGAGGAAACTGTGAATTTTTTTCAGCTACCGAAAAATGAAGTGATGCGGGAAGGATGGCTGAAAAAAATAGGAGGCTATGTTTTACCACCAAAAGTTGAATTTGGTAAGTTTGATATTGTACATAAACGTGCAAAAGTATATTAATTAAAAAATAAAAATGAATAAAAAATAATATTTTTTAGTTACTAACATAACCTCAAATTTTGTATTTACAAATGGAGTAAAAATGTCATGAAATGTTATTAATATGAACAGAAAATAATAAAAACAAATTAGCACTTTGTTCATGTATATAAGTAAAAATATTTTACAATTTAAAATATGAAAATCTTTAATTTGAAATAAAAATTATAAAGCCATATTTAATACAATGTATTAAGTTTTATTATTTATACATTATATTATTTTCAGCAAGGATATGCTCGGTTCATTTTAGTCAAGAGTCCTTTCATCAAGGTCGAGCACGGAAAGACCCTGTTAAGAAACGTCACCTACTACCATCGGCTGTGCCAACGTTATTTTTGAATTGTTCAGAAGCTCCAAATGTAAACAAGTAAGTATATAAAAACACATACACATTTGAATTTGTAATGTGGTGTTATGTAATTATATAAATGTACTTTTTCACAAGGAATGCGGTGGCTGAACCCGCTGAACCAAATCTCAAATTCAATATCCTCCGACGAGAATTCCCACTAGTTGTCAATTCTGAAAGAAGAATAGGATCTTCAAATACAACTTCACCAACAACTTCTCATGTAGTTGTAGAAGACAACATTGTAAATATTAGTACGCCAAAAGGAATACATAGGAGGTAAATATTTGAAGGTTTAATTTAACAAAAATCACAAAGGGGTGATTAATAGTGATGTTCTTTTAGAAGTGACTGGTTGGATGCAAATGTCGACATTGAAGAAAGTCCACCGGTGGCATCTGGCCCTGAAAGACGAGTATGCAATTCATCACCAAGAAGGTATGCTCACAGTGATATTTCTGAAATTACTTTTCAGCAAGGTTTTATTTTTAATGATCTTTTTTATTCTGTTGAGCAGGTCTGTGGCAAGAAGACATGACCGTTTACAAAATACTCCACATTTGACGAGGTGAGCATGAGACATAAAAGACAAAACATAAATTTGTAAAAAAAAATTTATATTATTTCACAAATAAATAATAAACATTGGATGTTTTACAATCAGTATGTTATGTTTATATTTAAACATGAAGACTTTTTTAAATTTTCAGACTTGCAAGAAGTAAACACCGTCGACAAAGCAGCAGTGATCCACTGAGTCCAGCATGGAAGCGTCGAAAACGGTATTTACCAATTTTACAATATTTCATATAAATACTTCACAGAATCATTTCTGTACTATATCTTCACAGTACCCAAAGCAAAGAAAATAATGTCCAAACACTGTCAAGAAATAGAAAAAGGATTTCATGAACATTTTTTAAAGCGAATTCACAGTCCTTCGGTTTCAGTGATTTTTGGTACGACAAATTTGAATATACTGATTCCTATGATAATTGAGACATAGAATGAGACAAAATGTTTTTATTAATAGCTTTTAACCTTATACTTGTAACACTTCTCAGATTCTTAGTGACTTTTAATTGAAGACTCATTGTATTCATATTCGTCGTACCAAAAATCATTTGAACCGAAAGACTCTGGATCCACCTCAAGAGATCTTTCTGAAATCCTTATACTGTTTCTTGAGTGTTTGGTCATTACTTAGTTTTATTTTAGGTACTGTATATTCTCTTTTTTATTTAATGTCAAGAAAATTAATCAAATTTATTTAACATAATTTAACAAATTATAACCATGCTTTTTCTCGTCTTTTGTTCTTTTTCTACTTTAAATTTCTATCTTTACAACATCAAAATTAAATATAACAAATATTAATATTAATAAAAACGTTAATAATATATTATAACATTAAGTATATATTATATTTTGTGATTTAAACTATTCATATATGAAGCTTTAATTATTTTCTCATATTAGAAATAAGAGTATTAAAAAACTACGCTGGAGTTTACGGTGACAGAGTTTAAAAACTGGTAGTTATTATATTGTCTTATATTTATTACAGGTTCCTCATGGACAATTGCACCGGCCAAACCTCTCAGAAGAAAGCTACACATTCGCATGTCGCAGATGACGTAGACGCTGAACTTCGTCACCGACGTTCTTTGAGTAACTTTTTCAAAAAGTCTCTCTGCGATGCTTCAGCGGCAGTGACTTCTGTTGAACAGGAATGTGCCGAGTTGAAAATGAAATTGAAGGCAAAGATTGAGGAACAGTCACCTTTCATAAAAAAGAATAAAGATCTAAAAGAGATCGTCGATTGTTTGAAAAAGCAGTTACAGGAAGCAGAAGCCGAAAAAGAACGAATGTCTTGTGCGAAGGAGGAATACGTTCGCGAAGTATTGTCTCCTTACTTTACTGCTGGACAAATTCGGTGCATTCTAGAAAAACGAAAATGGATTCATTGGTCCTTTTACAAATAAAAGTTGTTATACTAATTATTTTTGCTTCTTTGCATTTTTTTTCACAAACATTAATCACTTCTCTTTCTTCAAAAATATCAGTAATAATATTTTAAATGTAAAAGGTGTGACAATTTTTTTTCCAAAGATCTGATTTTCGTGTATCGACTTTCCTTTTAAGCGGTTTATTAATGTACCACCTTGTGTTGTAAACAAATTAATTTTAAATAGGTACAATTATTGAAACAGAAATTAGAAATGTAATCAAGAATAATGAATAAAAAAAATACATGAAATTGGAATAATTAATAAATTATATTAAATTTCAATAATTTAATTTTTCGTTGATTATGTATACCTATAATTAGTTATATTATACTTCGCCAATACATATTTTTAAACGCCAATTTCATATAAAATTAATAATTGTTGTGTTACTTTTACGGGCAACAAATAATTAATAAAAAAAAAAACAAATGATTCGAACGTATGACCCCTGCATTCAAAAGTTATCGCCACATCCTTTGAGCCAGTAAGATACTAGAGTGCTTTTATACTTAATATATACATTATCATCGGGCAGAAGGTTAGACTTTATTCATGCCATTAATCGATGACAATAATTCTGTCTTTTTGCGTTAATTCATTCAAAACCAGCAAAGGAAAAAATAGAAGCATTAAAACATTCAAAAAAAAGAAGTATTGCAATTTTAATACTATTACATTCTTTGTACATGAGGCTTTACAAGTATTATTTTTTTAAATTTTCTTTAATACTTTTCTATTTGTTGAGAAATCATTGAAGCCCTAAACAATAATACTTTTCAATAATTTCTAATAAATACAACGTATCTTCAAATATCATTCATCGTTGCAATACATTTTCAGGAGGCAGTTTGCAACATAATCCGTTCAAATTTCCTATTTCCTAGTTACTTTTAGTGGTGGTACCACTGCTTACACAATTCGACGTGAGCGGCAGAGAGAGAAACGATTTTAGAGAAAGAAAGACACCAATTGAGCACACCATGTAATCCTTACACCATGGTGGGGAGCCCAAGCGAGAGCGACCGCTCGAGGCAGTCTCTCGGGTATAGCCGTGGCAAACACACGTATCACACTCTGTACGATCGGCATACGCGTTATACTTTACAACCGAGAACTCCCGCGTACTATCGCGTAAAATTACTCGTCTTAACTAACAGCGAGGAGCAATTAATTGCCAAATACAATTGAGTGCTAGCAACAATACGCGAGTTGAAATTCGGATACATTGTTAATTAACGGAAGTGCAATTATCGAGTATATAACAACCACGATCATTGGGTCACGCGGATACGGAATATTGTGCGGACATTATTAATTATTGTATTTAACCACCGAATACTCGTTTGTTACAACTGCGCACGTACATTGTATGATAGAGTGATGATCACGGCCGAGTGCGTGATCATAGTTTAACAATCACGAGGAACAAAGTCCTCCGATCGGAATAATTATCTGGAATAAAAGCATCGTATCGACTAAACGAATAAGCCGAGATACGCAATTTGATTAATTGTGCAACTTTATTAAAATAAAGCGACATTCACACCGAGGCGAGAAACTCGCGTTGTGAGACACCTTTATGATATTGTGAAACGGCCTGTAATGTTGAAATGATGATCTGGAATTAAAGATTAATTAATTCTGAAACAAATTCTCCTGATTATTTATAAAAAATTATTGATACTTACCTTCTACTTACCTTGTCCTTCGGCGATGATCCAACGTTGGCCAGTGGCAATCCGGTATGCGATGTGAAGCGAGGATCCGGGGAAGCAGAGCAGCAACAGAGCAGCGATCCATCCGAGGCGGGAATCTGAAAGAAAAGAAGCGAATTAGTACATAATTAAAATATAATTATCG